CACCACCACCACCACCACCACCACCACCACCACCACCACCACCACCACCACCATCATCATCAGCAGCAGCAGCAAAGCTTAGTGAATAAACAGTTCCTTCAACGCTGGACGGTTTGCGTAAATATGCTGATAACCTTATTGCCTCGAAGCCTGCAAGTATCCTCTGTGACGGCATCAATATTTTGTCTGAGAAATGGCGCAAGGCCATAGAAAACGATGGACAACATTTCCAAGATCAAATTCGTTAGTTTTCGTTGTTAACTACTCAATAAATTTGCTAAAAAACCTGTACGAATTAAGTCGCACGCCACTGCACATTATAATGTCAACCAATCTCTGCGACAAGTAAATTCACTTTCAAATTTGCTGCCTGTTTTTGTTTAAATGGACCAATTCTAGTGCACACTTAATAACGGCTCTGAATTTCACAAATCTCTGACCAACTTGTTGGTGATGCTAGCATTTGTTTAGTTGCAATTGGGTTAGCTTTAGCGCAAATTTGACATGAAAAGACGATTATTACTTCAGAAGGGCTTTACTGAAAATTAGAGGTAATTGTTTACATCGATTTGGGTAACCTGGACGTCTAGCGACGGAACGTTCAATTCTGTAGATCCAGGCCTTCGTATACAAGAAAAATAAACGGCAGAATTTTATTTAACCAAAACGAGATGGTTGAAAATCGAATTTGAAAAAAAGCATTTTTACCTAAAAGACCAATATGTTACATCAGGTTAATTTAAAACATTATTTAGTGTTGGAACAGGTGATTAAACAGTTTACACCGAAAAATTTTTACCTAGCAAATGTGGTGTTGTCTGTTTATAGCAGACAACACCACAGGTGTTGGTCTATCAATGTAAATTAGTAAATTGATCTTTAATGTATTCAAACCCCATTGGTTAACAACAACTCTCGAAACCAATCACATTGATCGAGGATGATCATATCGTGGCTATGTCGTGTGGAGGTCACGTGACTGTGCGAGAGATCGTCGGTTGTGCTATCGTTTGCGAGCGTCAAAAAATCGATAATCACTCTAATGGCCTTGGTTGTTTAAATAGACTTGAATTTGGCATGAAATGAACACGATTTAAACAATCAACAAGATCCATATGCATCGTAAATGCAAAAAATTAGTAATATTCCTTAATAAACCCATTTCTGGCGGTTATTAGACTACACCAACAAAAGCACGAGATCTAATGATGACAGAGCAGCATCCAAATGAGAACTCCGTCACAACACTATTATGCTGCAAGTATGGTGGTGCCTGTGGGAAAGCTTTTTATTCTTCCGCAAAACAAACCAAATTTTTACGATATTTCCTGTCAACAAACAATAAAACCCTGCTCACTAACGATTAGCAGGGAAACACATGTGAAATTGTCTGTTGAAATTCATTGAATCTTGGTCGAGTGCTGACGTCGCTTGTTTCACCAGAAAAATACTTTTGTTTGTCCAATCAACAATTTGCCTTGACTTTCTCAAGATCTCATTGGACAAATTGAAATCAGTGAACTCGGTTACAACAAGTACTGTTTCTGTAAAGTATTTAAAACACACATTTCAGACCACAAAACACCGATAATTACTCCAGAGTTCAGCCATCTACGCAATCCGATTGGTTATTATAAAAAAACAAAACGACCGCAGAAATCAATCAGTAGACTAATGAAAGACGTACATTCAGAACAGCACGCCTCTCTTTCTCTTATAACTGAAAGCAAAAAGGTAAAAGAATGTGAACTTGTGACAATTAACAGTCGATTTAACCGACTGACCAAAATAACCTTTTCTCATTGGTTGACATCCTTTTCCACGTGTGCAATTTGCAGGTCTTGTTGTGTAACCCTTGTCGATATTCAGGTGAAGGTTTTTACAAGAATTTTAGGCAAGATTTTTCAAAATGTGATTAATTTTACCAACGCAACATCATTATCTGGTCGCGAAATTACCCAAGCTAAGAAATCAAAACCGTATGGTCAATTTTGATTGGCTCAATTTGCTATTGGTCAAAATTAACCAATAGCAGCTCACCTATTGTACACCATTTGTTTGTCCACTCAACTTACCGCGTTTTTTGAATGGAAGCGAGGCATCAGGTCTGTTTCGTGCTTGAAAGCTCGGGGGAGTTTCGTACTCCATGTTCATCTGTGGGAATATATATGTATACGATATTTTCGACTTGCTGTCCAATTTCAGTTAAGTAGTACATTTTGTAAAGACAAAAGTTGCTGCGCGATGATGACAGATTTAGCAGAAACATTGCGAAAAGTCCGAAATTTTGGTGAATTATTTTCTTAAATCAAACTCGAACATAAAATTTTGTGGTCTGACTTAAAAAAATCAGCATTGCTTTCGCCGATGTCGCTGTTACCGTTATGAATTCAAATGGAAGGCCAAAATCGTTACCTGGTTGATTTTAAACAAGGAGACGTCCTTTTGATGTGAAAATTCATTGCTGCCATGTGCTTTGCTACTACAAGTCGATGAGTCGTGTTCGTCTACAGCAAAATAGAAAAGGAAACCTGTGCAAAAGTACAACTTGCTACTTAAAACACATAAGTAGAACAAATATTTTACCTTGTGAATAGTGAGGATGACAGGGGTCCTAAAAAGAATTTAGACTAAAATTCCGTTCGTTTATCGATTACAGTGGTAAATTAGCTTACTCTAATTAAACATTTATCCATGATGAAATTTTTTAGAGAGACTTCAAGGTAATTTCGAAAGAATTTTGTTCTAAAATTTGCTATGGAATTTCTCGATTCCTAATAATTGGTTTTGGAGCTAAATTGCGTGAATTTTGAGCCAGCGGCGTCTTAATTGACCCAGAACGGAGACACGCGATTATGTCGATTTAAACAAAATTTCTAGAACATTATAGACGACGTGTGTATTGTTAAGTAAATTTGTGCAAAATTAAATCCGTCAGACGAAAATACACACCTCATTACGATTGAAAAATGTCGTTGTCTTCGTTCCTGCTGGGTTTAGGTTCTCTGCCATGTTTGCGGTAGCGGACTCCTAAAATTGTCGAAAAAATTCAGATATCATGTCCAATATTCTTGCAATTAGATTCACAGCAGTAAGATGATGGCGCTTGAATCACTTGTCAAGGTTATTCACTGATTGGTGCTAAACCAATGAAGGTGTCTTCCCCACAATCCCCCTAATCGGCTGGCTGTCACACATTTAGCCTACGGATTTTTAGTTTGGCCGCCGAAATTTAACCAATCGAAATTGTCTCTCACCTTAGAGTCTAGCCAATAGGACGCTTCCTGGGGACAGAAGGAGGAACGCGAACTGCTCTGTGCATCAGACGCATTTTCCAGTTTAATATGCGCCTCACAGATTCCAGCAAGCTAAAAACGAAGATAATCCAGCTTTTCCTGAAAATGCCGAAACTTCTGTGTGTTAATTTCATGAATCGGTTAGCTTACAGTCCAAATGGAAATATTAAATTGATTTCAGGTAGTTGCTACTTACATGATAATCAGTAGCATTTGTATCTTCGTCGCCTGAGGAGACGGATGAGTCATCGATGAAATCATCGTCCAAATGCGTGCCAATATTTCGCAAATCATTTTTGGTAATTGCGTTGTTCCTGATCTGTTCAATGCGCTGTGAAAAAGAAAATAAACACGAAAGCCTTATCTGCAACAAATTTGAAATTTTTCTCCGTAAAAAGCAAAATAATTTGATTTAACCAAAAATTATGTTTTTTTAAAAAAACGGACTACTTACCTCTATAAGTAGGAAAGTTATGTTTAAGGCGAAAGGAAATGACATTGAATACGATGAAACGGTTCTAACTAAAGCCCGTGGCATTTTTTTACAGCTAAATCACGGTTTTCGTTGGTCTAGAATTTTTACAAAATTGTGCAAAGTCACCAAACAATAGAAAATCGGGTGTAGGCTCTGATTACCAATTTCATCCCTGATTGATAACGTTCTGGAGAGGATGAGTACTTCTTGAAAATAAATGACTACTGATTTGATTTATAGTACGGCGTATTTGTGCGTGGACAGAAAAACGGTGGAATATCAGAAGATGGCAGAATGTGCTTACGCCCTCTTGCCACACGTTTGCCAATCGATCGACTACACACAAACAACCATGCAGCAGCAGCAGCAGCAGTGACAAACATTTTGCGAAATGCGAAGGCACACCATTGCCAAGTCAAAAACCACTTCAGTATTTCGACCAGAACTATTGCATTTGATGTAGTATGTCTGCACGCATTTGTTTAATTGTGCGTTTGTTAAATTCCCCCTCTTTTTGCTCGACAGAATTATTGATTGTTTTAATACTGCTTAATTGACCGCGCCAAACGCAAAAATTTAAAATACCCACTCGGTTCAGCGGTATGTACGTATCTGCGTGCTTATCAACAGAGTCGATTCGTAAAAGTGTTTTTTTTTCATTTTGTTTTAATATCCCGTAATGTTAGAAGTAAAAGGAGCGTGATTGAGATTGCAGCTGGTAGTTCTGAGTCAGTTCTTACGCTTCCTACGGCATTACTGTTGATGCTTTCGCGTTTTTTAAGACTTCAAACCGTTTGTTTTTTGTCGAAAACACTAAGATTGCAGGTCACAATTTTAGCCGAAAATGGCCGCCATGGGAGTAGAGAGTTTATGTGCATTATAAGCTATTTACAGTCGAAAACTAGGGCACCTGAATTAGCGAGTAATTAAAACCAAGAGCTGGAAAATGGTGATTTCCGAGGTTGCGGTGAGTGACTACGCGTCAATTAGCAAATTGTGGTAGATTTGATGACGCACAATCCTAACTAACATTGTTTGCAGCTAACACGACTTAATCCCTAGTCATGTCGTTAAATTAAGTAGTATTTGTAGGCGGAAATTGTCATTCTGTCACGAAGTTTGTCAAGTCACAAGTCACCTCAGCTTGACTGTACTTTACAATTAAGGCGAAAGACTGCCTGTGTTTTTTGTTTTACTGAATAAACCCACCCAATCCAAGGTCAACAAAATACCAAAAGTTGGTGGGGCAGGCTGAGGGGGTTTGGGTAATAACGCGAAATTACATTACGTAGGTTGAAGATGCTTGCACCATCCACTTGTTTTTCCAGCCCTCAAAAAATTAGATGAATCGGGTTTGAAAAACCCGATCATTTAATTACTAAGCAGACCAATTAATTCCTTTGTACTTTCTGAGTTAGTTGAAGAGTTTGTTTCGTGTGCACTGCTGTTTTTCACACGAAACGAATAATTTACAAGGCAGTGTAGATAGTAGGAAGCGTTTTGACAAAACTCAGGAGCTATTCATCGGAATTAGCGGCGTCACCACTTTCTTTTATACCAACTATTGGTGCCGGGAGCCCAAACGCCTCTTGCTCGAATCAACACATTGATTTAAAAATTAGTTATGGTGTGTGTGTGTGTAGATCTTCCTGTGTTTTATGGCATTTTCCGTGGATGCAAAGCTCCAGTTCACGGTAATACGGGACATTGTTTGATTCCCGGATAATATTTTCTCATTATGCCCTTAATTTGGATTCTTATTGGGCGACACTTCTTGCCGGACTGATTAAAATAAGATTTTGGCTTCCTATGAAAGCAGTTGGTGCCTGGGAGCTTTTAAAAATCTGGCAGATTCAGAATATTGGGAAGACCAATACGCCCACTTTGGCCAAAATCGACAATTTAAGGGTTATTGGCATACCCACGGTGATTTGGGACGCAAGTAGACTTAGGACATCATCAGCAGTATAGAACACGAGCAAACAGAAGCAAAGACTCGACAGATTTACCTTCAAAAGCCTCTCATTGGTCATCAGCGGGACGACCTTTCTCACTGTCCTCAATTTGGCCTCAAAAAAGGGGCTTGCGTACTCGTACAGGCAGCCCTTGTCCGTGATGACGACGATTTTCACGTGACTCCTCGTCAGATCGCTCAACTCATAGCCCTTCTTAAACAAGCCGAATCGGCGCTTGGAGAAGGTGGTCTTTTAGGTTGGCATTAGGGCGCTAAACCGGCGGAGAACTTACAGATCGCGCCTTGCTGTTGACTATTGGCTCAATTTTAATCCTGTTTCGGCCCTTCTTCTGTGATTGGGTACAAAAATGTAGAAAAAAAAACAAGTAAAAAAGTGCATGCATCAAACCACCTAGGTTTGGTTTATGCAAGAACGCGTACCGACACCCTTGGCTGTGAATCCGCCATGAATGATGCTTGCAATGGAAGTAATCGCGCTTGATCGATGCTAGGAGTTCTAGAGAGAGCGCCATTTATATGCCTCCGTTTGTGCACGTAAGCGTGAGTCGACTACTTCAAGGCTGTGTGGCAATTTTAATTACTCAAAATCGACGTTCACACGCGTAAATAACTGTCAGAGTTGTTATTTTAATTGCCAACGCCTCGAGTCAACGTTTTTGGGCAAACACCAAAAAACACACGAGGGAAAAAGGTGTGAGTGTGTGTGCGTGTGTGAATGTGCTGACGAAAGTACCTAAAGTCTGTAAATGTTGCTAAATCAGTTTGAAATTGAAGTACCCTTATTCATTTAAGTGAGATAGGGTACCAAATTAGGACGCAGACATGTTAGATCAAGCCCAGCTCAACCAATCCTTTGCCTCTGTGCGGACGAATGGCCAGGGTCGAAAGATGAGCAGCCAACCAGAGAAAAGGATGGATTAGGTGCACTATGTAATGGACGGTTTCTGACAGACGGTTCTGATTTGAGGTTGAAGTACAGAGTTACAGTGCCGCGATTGGGTGCAGCCAAAAGGTAGGCCAGTAGTCTGTTGGTGTGCGTTTGATTAGCCAACGAGGAAAATAGGCAGCCAATCAGAGACAAGAGTCGATAGGAGGCAGCCAGTTTAGTGGACCTGGACGGATGCCGGCTAACTGACGGTTCTGGCTTGCTGTAAGTCAATTCGGACCAGCTCTCTTCTTCCCACCTTCTTCATGTGGAAATTCAACAAAATAAACAATACTTTTTAAAATCACTGTTTGATTGGCCAACGAAGAAAATCGGTAGCCAACCAGAGACAAGGATGAATGGACGATACCAGACGCACGGTTCTGGCTTGTGGTTGGTCAATACAGGCCAGCCCTCATCTTACGGACATTCTTCAAATTACATTTGAATTGATTGAGTTAGCAAGAGGCCTCAGATATTCTGGTTGATTAGCTGAAGTTGCAACTTCCTTCATCAAGAAACTGAACTGTCGAAAAGCTGTTTATAGCAATTGTTTAGTTCGATTGATTAAATCAAGTGATTTACTGTCCTAATGACATCGTTTCTCTAATTTCTAAATTGCCATTTTTAAATAAAAATGATTAAAAAAGCAGGCATTTTGGATGGACGTTTCGTTTAGTCAGGTTGTTAATTCATATTTATCGTGGGTCATGCAACGCCCACATTACAGTTCCTTCTACGCACCAACCGGAGCCGGTTTTGTGTAGCCAAAATAACGCCTGTCTTGTAATCAAGCAGCTTTTCGAATTTTGAAGTTGCGCACAAATAACAAATATGTGAAAAAAACATGTCGTTAGTGTTACCGTCATTGAGTGCCAACCTGTGGGAAAATTGGGTCCTTACGCGCACACACACACACACACACACAATCCAGGATGATATCGATCCAGAATGTGTTTGAATGTGAAATGCGCTCAGTTTGATTTGATAGGCTGTTAAGTTTAATTTAACAAAATTACCTGTTGCGTTAAATTCTTACTGAGATTATCCCAAACCACAAACATCACGATAATAAGTAGAGCAAGCGGCAAATGTATGCAAACACAATGAATTACAACTAGTTGCGAATTCAAATAGGGCCCCAACAAAATAAGTTTAGTAAAACAAGGGGTTATGGAAAATTAACACAACGAATATTACACAGCATCAGACAAAAATGTCTAAGTGTCATCGTAGCTTACGATCAAGTGGCGGCTGTGTTGCTTGCTATCGATTAAAATAGAACTGAATTTGGCATGAAAACTTAAGGGGTGCAAGTAGGAAAGGCTTTGAAAAATGCGACTACCCAATCATCGTCATTCGTTGCCATCCGGATGTTTGAGGTGACCTTGAAGTAACCCTCAACCGATCGTTAAATTTGCATTGTTTCATGAACCACTGATGTGGTGTGTGTGTGAGTGGAACTATTTTTAGCCTTTGTGCAGATGTACGTGTTTTGTCTTGTGTGGGATCGCTATAAAATACCAAGTGACACTTTAAAAAAAAACACAAACAAATCTGAAGACTGAGGCGTAAACACCGATAGAATCGGTCTGGGTCGTGATGTGCATTCGTGAATCTTTAGAATGCTCAGTTTAGACGAAAATTAGTAGTACCATGGCAAAGGCATTTGTGAGTTAAGCATTTGTTATAACGCATGCACTGTAAACACTTTCCAGCCCCCACAACACCAATTTCACCTGCTCACATAAACCAAATCAATTTTCCCACTTTAACGCACATCTTGTAAACTGTTTTTTAAACAACGCCTCCAGCTTGCCTGAATAAACGACATCCTCACAAATTTCTCACACAGTGATTTCCATAAGCGAAAGCTGCATCATGGGTGTTAACACGAGAAAGTAATGAGCGGTGTGCTTAAGGCGTAGCTCTAAGTAAATCCTTTAGCAGACAAAATGTGTGGGATACACTCAATTTTTTACAAACCTGTGTGCAAACAACAAGGTAACCCAGAAACGAAACAAACGTCGGTAATTGAAACAAACTTCACCAAATAGAAGTTTTCTGTGTTTGATGATATTGGAATTCTTAGGTTAAGAACGTTTAATGTTTTAAGGGCGTTAATTAAAATATGAAGAAATCTTAAATGAAGAAGTTAGAGATTTTTATTACATCTGACTAAGAGAGAACGTCACGTCACTGTGCAACAAGAAAGGCTATTCACCAACACCACAGAAAATCTGCCGCCATACCTCTGCATCTTCTGTTAATGTCAAATTTCCTGAAAAAGAGGCCCAACCTACAAGGTCGATAAATGCGTTTTATGATTTATAGTGTATAGTTTATCAAAAATGCCCCGGTTTTAAAAGTACGCCAATAATTTGTGCCTTTGACTAGTTCTGATTTCCTAGAGTAAGAGACATTGCCACTTTGATCCTCGTTTTGTAAAAGGGAACTGAAAATCTAAGAAATTAAACTTCTCGTGTGCATTAAGCGTGATTTAAAATTCATAATCAAACTTGCGTGTGGATTCAGCTGTAAAAACTTGTACATATATAATAGCAATTTATGGGCAAGCCCATGAAAGAGCGAATATTTTTACTCTCTTTTTAGAAAAACTGTCGAACACAAACGATTGTAATTATTTTTAAGAAATAAGGGACGTAAAAAATGTTCTGAATTCGGCTAAATCAAAGGAAATGGAGGCAGCAACCCCAAAGGGTAAATATAAATTGGAAATCAGTCGCATCTACATAGTTATTTTATGCAGTTAACAGAAAAATTGCACTGAAAAATTATTAAATTAATATTACAGCAAATGAGAACAATAATGCCAACTACAGAAAATGATACAGTATTAGCTTGTTAACAGTGCATCAATTTAGTGAAAATCTATTTTCATTATTGAAATCTAATCTATGTATTAAAAAATAACCACAAATTTCCTAGGAGCCTACTTTTATTGAAAAAATTTATTTTCCAATGGCGACGAAAATAATTAAAACATCAATCACAAAATCGAAGACATGCCCCAATATCCTGGATAAGAAAATTAATAATCAAGTCTGCAGAACAACCAGAATCAGCTTTCAAATGACTTAAAGTCATTAATTTATCAACTGACAGGATAAGACATCGAAACGCCAAAACATAAAGCCAAAAAAACGTAATCAAATCCATTGTTTAATTCTGTTCAAATATTTAAATACTCACGAAAGCAGCATAATTCTAGCCCTTTTATTAAAAATATCCTGACGTATTTAAACGACAATTTGTTTTCGTAATAAACTAGAAAGGTGACTTCGGAAATATTTTGAAATTTTGGATACGAATTCAGTCTGCCCTTAAAGGCTTTGAACTGATTTAAACTAGTTTATATATATTTTGATGAGTTATGTATTTTTGCCATAATTTGAAATGCAATTAAATGTTGTAATATAAATATTCATGGAAGTTTTTCAAATTTTGGATACCAATTCAGTCTGCCCTTAAAGGCTTTGAACTGATTTAAGCTAGTTTATATATATTTTGATGAGTTTTGTATTTTTGCCATAGTTTGAAATGTAATTAAATGTTGTAATATAAATATTCATGGAAGTTTTTCAATTTCTATGTTAATTGTTTTAATTGTTGGTCTGACGTTAGGCGGTACTTCCAAGGTTGTTCGCGTGAGGTGTGTATTGTTTTCATCGTGTCTAGTTCTTAAAATGAACGCACCACCGGCTCAACAAAGAGGTGGATTTAGAGGCGGTTTTGGAGGGCGTGGTCGCGGTCGTGGGGGTCGCCGCGGACGCGGAGGTCGTGGGCGAATGGGAAAGGATGCCGAGTGGAAACCTGTTACCCTTCTTGGTCGTTTGGTGAAAGACAAGAAAATTACATCGCTAGAGGAGATTTATATGTACAGCCTTCCCATAAAAGAAGCAGAGATTGTTGATACGCTAATCGGGCCCTCTGTTCTCAAGGATGAGGTCCTCAAGATTATGCCTGTTCAGAAACAAACTTGCGCTGGTCAGCGGACACGTTTCAAGGCAATTGTGGCCATGGGAGACTACAATGGTCACGTTGGGCTTGGCGTGAAATGTGCTAAGGAAGTCGCTACTGCCATTCGCGGCGCTATTCTCCAGGCTAAGATTTCTATTATCCCCGTTCGTAAAGGCTACTGGGGTAATAAGATCGGCAAGCCACACACCGTGCCTTGCAAAGTCACTGGTAAATGTGGTTCCGTTGTCGTGCGTTTAATCCCTGCGCCGAGAGGAACTGGGATTGTCAGTGCTCCTGTTCCCAAAAAGCTTCTCTCCATGGCTGGCATTGAGGATGTTTACACAAGTGCTCGCGGCCAGACAGCTACCCTCGGGAACTTCGGTAAGTCGTCAGTTTGTCGTCTAATTCTCAATTTTAGCCAAAGCCACGTATGTCGCCATTCGCAAGACTTACGAGTACCTTACTCCGGATCTGTGGTCGGTTGCTCCTACGCAAAAGCACGTCTATGTGGAACACGCGGAGTACCTGCGCACTATGTCAAAAGCTCAGGCTTAATCGATATTTAAATAGATGTATTGGCTGAGGTGGTATGATTTTTGTACTTGCAGGATTGGCCTCTCCGAATTTCAATCCTTTTTTTCGCACTCCGGGTCGGGATGTTCGCCTACTTTTCCATAATTTGGGGACAGTCCTAATTTTCTAATTTTATTACTTATGTGGCATTAGGTGTTAGGTTTTTATTTTAATTCTGCGTATCGGTGCAGTCATTTGGTCAATACTTTTATGCCCTACGTTGGACTTGGTGGAAGAACTGAAGAGGATCACGTACTTTCTACTTTGCCGTTACCATTGAGTCGCCATGATGTGCTGCTCATCTGTCCGTTTCAAAGCTCGTTCGCTTTAGCTATTTTTGGACTGAGCTCACCCAGCTACGAAATCTTATATGGAGTAGCTGTTTCTTGGGGTCACCCCTTCCTTATACTTCTGCTAGTGGCCGAGATTTTGTGCCGCCCAAACGTATCAGGGTGAATTGGACCCGTTTTTTCACAATTCCGATTATTAGGGTGTCTGCCGGTGGGTGGTTGGGCTCATTGCTCAGAAGAGTGTCTCAACCTAATCAAAACGTTCAAGCAGGTGTGAAGATTCAGCCGTCTACGATCGTCTATCGTATCTTTGGTTTCAGTTATTGACAGATTTGGAATCAGTCAATTCTAACGCAGTTTTTTCCCAAGTATTGATATACACAAATGTTCTCGGATGCTTTGTCAGTGTTATTAACGCTTAGTTTTACCACACCAATTATGGACGAGGGGGTAGCAGTTAACGGGTTGCTGGTATACTCTCGGTCCATCATCGTGGGGGAGAAGTTTGCCATACGCTTAGTCTCCTAGGCCCTTGTTTCAGAGAGCGACGTTTTCAGTAAATGGAGGCAGGTCGGGCAAGACAGTGCATTTTGAGTCGGAGTCAGCCGGAGAAGTTCCAACTTCTCCCACTAACGTTATGCCGAAGCCGTCGGGCATCTTCGTGCGAGCTGCCTTTTTCATTGCGAAGGTCGGTATCTGCGCCGTGTCACATGCATTAATCACCTAAAATAGGATACTCTACTTGGAACTTTACAGAGTCTAAGTAAATAAATGTAAGTAAAAGTTGACTTGGGCTCTGTGCTTCTGACATTTAACTACCAAGTGGATTAGACTGAAGGCCGATCTCAAAGCTCACTCCAGTGAGATTGCATTTGTAGTGGTTGGAACATGAGGGCCATTTATTCTAAAAGTTTAAGATGTGACAAGCAGACGTGGACAGTTAGTATCAGTTCTGTTCTTGGTACCTCTTAGCCAAAAAAATCTTATTTGCGACAGGTTAAAAGCTCGATTCCTCTGCTGGTACTTCAGAATCACTTCTGATGGGAAATTACAGCTTTGAGGGCATAGTTTAGGGTTGCTCTTGTGAAGTAAGCAGTTATGCAAACCAGCACGTCACGTACCCGTTTGGCGTACTCCTGGAATATCTCTTCCTGCTTGTCTGTCTGTTTGCTGAATTCACTGAACCAGTCCTTCTCTGCCTGGCGCTCCTTTCTTCTCAGATCATCAGTCCTAATCTAAAAATGCGTACAAATAATTACAATTTCAAGGTATTTTGCAGTAAGTTTTACCACATGGACGTTTTGGGTGCTTCTGATTGGTCCATCAAGCCACCTCGATGTCACCAACTCAAAACACCTACTTTATTCGTGTCAGTAGTAAAGTAAATAACAAAAAAGTGCACGCCACAACTAACCATTCCCTGCTTGTACAAGTTGGCGAGCTGCCTGCCTTCCTCGAGACGCTTGGCGCGCAGTTCCGCGTCTTCCCGATGCGCTGCCTCGTCCATGGCGATGCGCCTCTTCAAGTCGGCCTTGTCGGCTTCTCGCTGGTTGGCCCGGGCGTCAGCGTGCGCCTTCAGCGTGGCGAGTCGATGCGCCTCAATCGCTGCCATCGCCTCCAGCCGTTGCTGCTCCTTGAGTTCCTCACGCTGTCGCCACTTTGCGTCCATCTGTTTGACCGCCTTCTCAGTCAACTCGTCCTCATTTGTCTGGTGCTCTTTGAGCGCCTTCTCCAGGTGCTGTCTGGCCCTCGCCTGCAGCTTCTCCTGAGCGCTGTGGAAAAAAAGAAATCAAACGAGGCAGTTTCAGGTCGAGCGTCAACCAGGTGGTTCGTGTTGAGCAAGTCCGTCAAACTCACTCGGCGTCGGCTTTCGCCTTGTCAATCAGCAGAAGTGTTAGCGCTCGTTTGGTGGCATCGTAGATTCGTATTCGCTCGTCCAGCTCCTTGGTTTAAACAAAGAAATCGGTTATCGAACGTAGAAGTAGTTCAAATCCTAGGAATCTTGTTGCATGGTTACCTCGAATCTTGTTTCTCTCAGAAAATAAATAAAACTGCGTTGCTCAGCCCGAGTATCTTGGAGCTGAGTCTACCTCACTAACTCCGGCACTGTGATTGGTTGCTAAACCTAAACTGAATTCCGATTGGCCCTCTGTCAGCCAATCAATGAGTGGGGCAGCTTTAAATTTTGTGAAACCCTTTATTGAGTGCTACCTTTGCCCAGTGAGAAGATACCCGCTGAGCCTACCTCATCCTTGATTCGTTCCACAAATCGCATCTTCTTGTGAACTTCAATTTCATCCAGAAGGTCTTTGTGGGTGCGCTTTTGGTCCTCGAGTTGGCGTCGATGCAGTTCCTTCTTGGTCTTTTCAGCTTCCTCTGCCAAACGCTTAATTTCGTCACCCTCCATCTTCTCCGCCAACTTCTGCTTCTCTCGCTGTCTCTGATGGTCCAGGATCCTATCGATTATTTTTCAAAAAAACGCTATTTGTGAAAATCGACGATGTCAGAACGTGGAAGTTGGGTTTAACGTGATTGGAAGAGGGCTTTTGTACCAATAGTCACTCCAGATAGTTTTAGCCAATAGGGCTTCACTGCATATGACCTTGAATTGCATAATTCTTGAACGTTATTAGGTAAATTCAGTTAGTGCCTCGTCTAACTTATACTCTAACGACTGTGAAATGCCAATCGATGAGTGTGAGAGGAAACATTTCATTCATTCTAACAGTAACCAAAGGCTTATTAAGATTTAAGTAGTGCTGACTCACTGTGATCGCTGAAACTCATGGATTTCGAGGATGGCGCGTTTTTTCTCTGCTTCCTTTCGCTTTTCTTCCTCCTCAGCTGTAAGACGACATTTGATGGAAGTAATTGGTTAAATTCAGCAAGGTGAAAAAGCAGTCAAAGATACAGACGAATTTGTGTATGTTGTACCTCTCTAAGACCCTGTCTGTAAATTGGGAAAACCAACAAGTTTAATAATGTTAGAACCCACCATCAATGTTACCGAAAACCCACAGCATTAAAAATATTCTTGCTACTTACAAAAATAAGTAACGAATATAAAATTCGTTAAGTTATCATCATAAGCATTACCCAATTGTGTCTCGTTAAGAGAGAATGCCTCAGTAATTAACGGATAAATAGCCTCTGTTGTTCAGTTAGTTGTTAATGGCAACACGATAATCCTCTGTTCTTTGAAATATAAAAGAAGCAAGGTGGTAGAGGGAGGTTTGTTTTAAAAGCACGAACCTTCCTTAATGGATTTCAGCATTTGCTGGTATTCTTGGTTCATTTTCTTATTTTCTGCATCTTTTTTTAATTTCTGCAATTTCATCTGAAGATCACGCTCCTTTAATGCGTCACCGTCAGCCAGGGCACTCTGAAATGCATGTGTGGTGGAAATTTGAAATCGAATGGTTCAATATAGATGGAATGTTTGTTATAATCGGTAAAAGTTTTTTGATTAACTAGTTGGATTCCTTTTCCTTTGTCAATGTGGCCTCATTTTCTGGGGTTAAGCAATTTAAGATAGTTTGAAATGCTGCAAACACCACAGATTATTAACATGAAATAAGGAATTACTACTGAAGTGGCATAAGCCTATTACGTGGAAGTGCTTGACGCGTGAAGTTTTGTACAGCTGTGCGGTGCGCGCAATGCAGAGCTTCTTAAGGCGTTCTTCGGCCTGCAATTTGGCCCATTCAAGGTCCACAGCAACTCGCTCCGCCTCCTCTCTTTCCATTCTCTCCTGTCGATCCTTCAGCTTCTTCGCTCGAGCACCCTTAAGATTAAAGGAAACACAGTTACTTACCTGGAATAAACGAAAATTACTTATGTGTAGACATATAAAACATCAAAACGATAATTACATATGCGTGGAAAGGGTTCCTCTAATTTTAGAATTACAAATCAGTGTGACTTGAATATTTAATGACGCAAAAACAAGGCCCTCCAGTCTCCGAAAACCTTAAGGTGACTCTGAAATGCACTCACCATAAATGTGTTGGTCCAGTGTTTGTGAAGCTCGTGCGACGTTTCCTTCATTTTTTCGTGAGCTTCATGGGCACGCTGGAGTTTAAGGGCGTGAATTTCCTCTGCATTAATCAAGGTGTTAAGCTCGTCCCATTGCTTTCGAGTAAAAACTGCAACAAGATCCGAGTCACACTTTCGCATTTTTGAGCGGTGAACCAGATTTTACTATAAAAGGTGAAAAGTCAGGTCTGTTTCCTACTATCAAAATTTAAAGCCTTAAATCGCAAATTTTTTTTAAAATATCAAATACACCACTCAGTGTGATAGGTAGTCATGAGTATTGATAAAAACGTCGAATCAGTGTACATTGCCAATGCTTTTATATCCTATTACGAGTCGTTGGGGATGCTACGATAGACTTGAACGATTAAATTGAACGGTTGTATTCCGTTGATGTTCAACAAAATATATTCGATTTAAAATTGATACAGGAATGAAAAAAGTAGCAAAATTGAGGCTCATTTAGTAAGCAAAGTTGATATAATAGGATGACTACATTAAAACCACAGGCATCGCTACAAAAGCCGCCAACTGATTAATCCTGTGGAGGCACATTGATACTGATGGCCCAGAGTTAAAGAATTTAAAGTAATTATAAAAATAATGTTTAAAAATACAAACAGTTGTCTACATTTTGAGCTAAGTAAAAACAATTATTTCTAACAGGAAAGGAAGTTTTACAGTAAGCATTAAAAAACTCTTATTAAAAAAAAAGATATTTTTTGAAAAACGTTAACAATAGCAATTTAATAGAAAGGATTATTGATCACCGTAACCAGTAGGTATCATTTTTCTTCATAATTTCATGGAAAGTGCAGCAAAATTAAAAATCTTCTTATCTGCTAAATGCTATTCAGCATATGTACCAAATACATTAAAAAACTTTACAAACAAAAAGATAATAGTTATTTGATCTAGTATAATGAATAATAACAAGGTTGATTCATTCCAAAAATTATCAAATCAAAAATGTTAGAAAGCTAAGTCAACGACAACTTTCACTCATGACCAGCATAAACAAACCAAGGTTGTGCACAATATTTGCATTATTTTCTGGTTTATGTATTACGCTTTTGTATGCGAAAATTCTTGTTATACGAAACCAAATTTTAAAAACCTGTTGTACAATTACAAAAAAACATCTGGTTGATTATGGATTCACGACACAATGGCAATTAAGAAAGTCAAAGTCGAAGTATGCAAGGCATTCCGAAAAAAAATTATTTTAAATATTTTTGAACGCTTGTTTCGAATAGATTACATTAACGTGCATTCATCAATAGAAGCATGCTTAATTTGCAGTGTTAACAAATATGAATATTCCAATTATAAGGAATAATATTAGAAACAAATAAATTTATGCAATGTATTAATAACCATTTTTGCAGCCACAGACTTTTTTTGCATTGCTTGGCACTTAAACGTCTGCGTGTTTCGAAAATTCTTAGTATTTTTTTGCTTAAATATGGTGGTTATGTGCCATTGCTCAGGAATAGCTTTGAAATTTGCAAAACGTACTACTCAAAAAAGGAATTTTTTTTACTTAAAATAATTTTTTTGCGATTACAGTGAGTGTTTCATTGTCTGGCTAAAGGTTATGTATTATTACTAACATATCACATTTTTTTGAATTGAACAAATGTTGATCTCTGCTAGTGAATGACATTTCAATTATTCTTTGCTTATATTAATTCAAAGTTGCTGAAAATTGTCTTTTGCAGTTTTTTTGACAAAACAACACGCAGACTTTGCAAAGTGTTTAAATTCTTTTTGATGTAATCCGCTCAATTCCAGGCAGCCGCTTAGTTTGTTATTGTGTATATTTAAGTAGTCTTGCTATTTTAAGATGGTCGACAGCACTGAGTCAAAGCTGCGCAAAATGGAGGAAGAAATGTCAAGGTACTCTAAAATTTTTTTATATACGAATTTCTGTTGTCATTTCTGTGGTAATTATTATCCTTTTGGAGGCCTTATTTCCTTCCTTCCGAATTTATGTATTCAATCTGTTTACAAACAGCAAATCGCATGCAGTGTGTAAGTATATCGTGTACTATTGTTTCATTTGATAAAATAAAGTTCATTTTTTCTGTGTTTATAACGTGAGTATGTTGGCCCACGTACAACCTTGCATTCCTATGCCCGTCTTAATTTTGCTGTCAAATATTTGTCATTCGTTATAAATCAGGGAGAAGTCGTGTTTGAGTAATGAATATTTTGATTTTAACTAAGAATCGCTTTTTTATATTCAACAAATCTTTTTGCAGGTTCGAAGCGGAGATCGCCTCACAGTCTTCTCATGTCCAGGTAAATCATTCGCTTTCTTCGACCCTTCATTACACTCAACCTTCCACATTCGCCATGCCCTATGTGCCAGGCTCGCAATTCGCGTCTCCCGGTTTAATGCCACCAAATCATCGTAAGTTGTGTTCGTTTTCCAGAGCTTTTTTCTATTCGTCGTGTTCAGCAGTTTAAACCATCTTCTTTCTTAGTTTTAAGTCATCAAACGGCCCCTGGCGTGTACATGCCTCAGACATACGCAATGGGACCCACCTACATGTCGCCAGCTGCTCCACCTCCGGTGTGTCAGGCGCCGCAAACGGTGATTTCTGCTCCCCCACAGATGGCTGCGCCTTCGGAGTTGGCGGCGGCAGTTCGAGCGAATAGGGAAGCAGAGGCGGCGGCGAAATTGGCCGCTTCTGAAGACACCTTTGACGTTGATGATGACGTTACTCGCGCTCTTCTTGCTGCAGCCGCTGGAGTCACCTACAACAACCAAACAACTCAGACCTCCTCCTCTACATCGTCCGTAACTTCGAGTAAGTAATTACATTAATTTGTTTACTTTCTAGACTGACAAGTGGAAGTGCTTAGCCTTATTATCAATCCTTTTGAAGGTTCGTTTAACGATAGCTTCCCTTCCGCCTTGTTTTTACTTCCTAGTCTTGTGAAATTCATTACCACCAAACTATTACATCAATTTCGGCCAAAGACACAATAAGGTTCCTCAACGCACATTAGCAGACGCTCCAATTTACATTATGTAAAACACATGAAACTAATGTTGATCAACTTAAAAACTTGCCGTCTTGTTTGATATTATACTGTTTTTTCATATGGTAAGATGTATTTTTCGTAGAAACAGCACAATTGTTGCAGATAAACCTGCAACAAACTAACTCTTAACTTGTTCACTTCAGAAGCAGCTTCTTCCAACTCTGCGTCAACGCAAGCCACCAACGTGGTGCCTGCTGTCCCTAGCAAGACCGTTGTGGTGCCTCAAAGTCTCCTTCCCGCTCAGCTCCTGTCCTCAACCCAACGCACGATCCCCCGCGTTCCACTTGTGCCCGGTGGAAGCGCCAGTGGCAGCTACCTGGACAGCTCGACATCCCTGCCGATGCGGTCAAAGAGCAGTCTGACGGAGGAGCCGTATTCTTTTCAGAAGAAGGTCTACAAACGCGTCGCTGCTGGCATGGTTTGGGAGGATCCAACTCTTGGCGACTGGGATCCAAGTAAGTTCCTGAAGTCGTACCTTCTGAAAGTGCTTTATCGACAAATCAGCCACTTAACCAATGAGTAACCTTCTGTAATTCATCACGCAGGATCCTTATGTTGCTGGGCGTGGACTAAGGCTCTTGTTTTGAGCTAAGACATTGAGACTTGTACTTTTGTTGGGGATCTACGATTCTCCAAGATTGCTTTGTCGTTGGTTTCTGGCACTATTTACACTAATTCACTAAAATGTGCTTTATCACGCTTTTTATCAGGTTAAAGTCAACCTTGCCTCAAATTACTTTCACTTTTGACAACTCACTCCGCACGTGGCTGACATGAATAAAGCTCTCTACACGAGCTCTGGTCTTCTTCTTATATTAGCGTAGGAAGGTCGGTTCTAGCGTCAACAAGGGATCTGGTACCGCTATTCGAGTGGCTTTCTCTTTGTTACGGGCAAGCTCTGATTCTTGGACACAGCGCTTGACACGTACTTTCTCACCAATTTACCTGATTTAGTAAAAATGCGCTAATGTGTATTTGCGAAATTGTGCAGATGACTTCCGGATATTCTGCGGTGACCTTGGAAACGAGGTGTCTGATGATACCTTGATTCGTGCCTTTTCCCGGTACCCGTCCTTCCGCAAGGCCAAGGTCATTGTGGACAAGCGAACGGGCAAATCACGTGGCTACGGGTTCGTCAGTTTCTCCGATCCGAACGACTTTACCCGCGCTATTCGCGAAATGAACGGTTGGTGTCTGATCTGTACCGCCTTTGAATCGTTCTTACGTCGAAATTCTGACTGGGCTTTTTTTGCGTTTTTCTACAGGCAAGTATGTCGGGAATCGGCCAATCAAACTTAAGAAGAGTGACTGGAAGAATCGACAGCTTGAGACCTACCGAAAGAAGGAGAAGGCGAAGAAGAAATTGGGCTTAAAAATTTAACTGCCCCTATTTTTATCAATAAAATTGTACACATGCACGCTCGTCTCATTATGCCTCTCTTTCGGCTGTTTTTAGCGCGATAATAACGTCGTCGGCACTTTGTCTTATTGATACCATGACCGTCTGATTGTGTTTGTGGTGATCGATGTTAAGGCAGCTATTAGGGTTGTCAGCGTTCCCCAAGACAGGTAAATTAACGCAGTGATTACAAGTCGGCTGCCACGCCACGTCGTTGTTACCACCAGCAACTCTTCAAACAGTGTTATTCCGCTTCTACTTTTGCTCTATCTTGTACTCAACACATTGATCCCTTACACACAAGTTATAGTCTTCTCTTGTTTTGGAAGCATACCGAGAAAAATGTGGAAACGACCCAGAAACGCAACGCATTGGTCACGAGTTACGAATCGTAGATACGATTGGTTAATTTGTGGTTTATTTGTCATGGTACGCTTTTGTGAGTAGATTGAGGTCTGTGCACGTTGGATCTTTGAGGTTGTGTGTTAAGTTAATGGAAGTTTCTGTTGGTTTTCTGTTCGATATTTGAACTGCCGTCAAACTCGTAGTAGAAGAGTTTGATGATACTGTTAGGGGATACTGAACAGGAAAAACGTGTTCCTCGTATATTTACTGGGTTTATAAGGAGGCTGATGTGTACCTCTACGGCTCCACAGGACAAGATTTGCGGAGCAGGTGTTTGTAATTCTACACGTCATCCTGTGACTCAAGATCGTTCCAGAACGGGTTATCGTGCGACGAGTCACGCGTTGTTACCTGATTTTCCAGAGGTTAAGCACTAGGGCGATTTGCCTGCATCGCCACCGGCCGCTCGCGAGGTTGTTAACCCCCCAACCCCCTTTTCGTGCTAATTCCATGACTATCAGATCGTGTCTTGGCGATCGCTCTTCAGACGGCTCACAAACGATGTTGTCGAAGTCCTTTCTTCGGTGAGACTGGATTTTAAGATGGAAATGAACTTTTCAAAAGCTCACATTTTATAGCACCGGGATGTCACACGATTTGTGCTACAAATGCTTAATTCAATATCAACTCAGAATGATTGAAGTAACTCTAATTATATTTGGCCGACGCAATTCACAAGACTTGACTTGATTAAAGCGCAGATATTTATTTTAGTCTGGAGAGCATCTTTCATTGCCTTTTCTCAGGCTGTCTGAATCCTGCCAGCGCAAAATGTCAACTGTTTTCGGATCTTAACATCTTGCGTGCTAAGTTACAGTCATCGGTTCTTGGTAAAACCAATTTAATAGTCATTCCCTATCGATTTTGTGAACGTTTCATTAAGTAAATATCGTTGGCCAATGGGAAGATGGAAGACAAACGCCGTCTTGATTGGCTCGTGCAAAAATCAATCCCAGTAACCAATCGGAAGCTTATGTCATCGCCCTCTTAATTAATTACTTTTGCTTCTATTTAAAGACACCGTGAGTGTTTGCTCTTTTACAAAGTTGGGGCTAGAAACGTTAAAAATAACTGCCAAATCGAAGCATTCTGGGTTGTTGTAGCCTCACTTCGAACTACGATATTGTCGGTGCTAGAGCCGCGTCAACAAACTGGACCAATAGGGTGGCAACTATGGGATGTCTTCACCGATCTGAGTACGATTCACTTAGATCAACGAATCGGTATGTAGTGAGTGATGGTGCTGTTAATTAAAACAAAATTCTGATGATGATAATTTCAGTTGAAATACATTTTTCCTCCCGACTCGCTGCCTGCATAAGTCAACAACAAGGGTGTATCATGCTTTTTTGTAAAAACGGATTTGGTTTCTGAGACAGTGTCGCACACTTACGAGAATGCAGCTTTTGCATCACTTGATCTTCCGTGCCATTCCACTCGAAGATTTTTGCCTTCCACCGACTTTCGACTGAATTGCCGCCAAATAAAACTGATACAGAATGCAGCCCTAAACGAAGACACGCGTTTAACACGTCACTCAACTCACCAATGCGAAACACGCATTCATAACACAGGGAATCGTCCAGAAACACGTGATGAACAGGCCATCATTGTCAAAAACATTCTCCCTCGGGTAGTAGTCGCTGTAAGATTCAAGTTATGGACACGGTAAATTGTCCCGTCAAAGCGGTTATCAGGAAAGCCCCACTTACCCGTACTTTTTCGCCAAAATCTTGTTTAGCTTTTGTGCAGACAGTATGCCAGTCACTGGACAATGTCAGAGTTACTGAAGCCTTACCAAGGAAGGTAAATATCAGCGCAATAACGTTGGTTCTTCTGCGCACATGGTAGGTTAGTGTTCCGAGAGCAGCGTGCGCGGCGAGGATCAGAATGGTCCAGCGATTCTCCCGCCAGTCTGTCTACATGGTGTTAGGATTGTCATAAAGCGCGAACCATTTTCATGAGGGCAGTAAATTTTTGGTCCCTGTTCATCCTTGTGTGTGTGTGTGTGCGCGCGTGTGTAAATGATGCCAAACACGGCCCTCGTACCTACTCTGAGTCTGACGATTATCGACTTTGGCGAGCACTTAAAGGTGTGTCTAAGTGCGTAATGCTATTGGTCTGTTGGTGGCAGTGGTGTGGCTCTTTGATTGGATAAACGAGTTTAGACGTTTATCTGACGAGACGGTCCTAAGTTGCATTTTTCATCGATTATGTGTTCTCTCGCAGACGCACTCCTTTAAAAACTGCTACAATTAAGCTCTCGACGGACCCGTTTAATTGCCTATTTTGCAACCTATAAATGGATGTTGAGAAAGATCATAACTGTGTTTGGATGGTCAAAATGATCACGTTGTCTGGCCTTGCCAAGAATGCACTCGGTCATCTTTAATAGGTCAATTCAAGGTCAAAGGTATTCTATGTGAAATAGGAACACACTGTAGCGACGTACAACGGACCAATAGGAAGAAAGACGCGAATATGAATTCGGCATTTGGTGTGCATAAACGGCAGTTTATAGTGTAAGTGAACTTATTACAGGCTCATTTTTTATCAATAAATTACACAGATATTCGATAGTTTTATGGAATAAATCAAAATGGCCTTACGTGTGTTGAGAAAACTCAAAAAAATTGAACGAAATCTGTGACATTGACCATAAAGTCTTTTTTTGACATTTAAATTTACTTCCATCAGCACATTAATAATGACATCTTCAGAAGTATTTTTGCGCTGGTTGCACAAACGCAGATTCTGAGAGAGCAGCCATGAAACTCATGCTTCCGTAAGAAGTCGCCGGTGATTGGTTAGGGTCAGAACAACTTTGAAGCACGCGCTTCAGTAAAATGGAAACAACTGTCAAAATAGAAACAGACAAAAAACACAAGTCCCCAGCAGCGTGATTCATATAATTTAGCAAATCAGCATATTTTGTATTATCCAGAAATTGATCAGAGGTGCAAGGTTCTTCTCCAATCTAGATATTCGCTCCGTTTTATTTTGCTTTAGCCAGTGCAGTTAATTAGCAACACATGGTATCACTTAAGATATTTTAATTCAAATTAACTAAGGAGCTTCGAACAGTACAAGTATATTTCTTTTAAATAACCCAAACGGTCATATAGCTTCTACGGACTTAGTTATTATTGAAATCTAACGTCTAAATAAAATAGAAGATTAAAAGGAAATTATTTTAATATAAGCTTGCCAGTTCTGTAAAGATTTACTACAAACGGACAGCTATGTGCCGTTAGTTTTGGTTGAAGAAACGTTTTTCTTAAAAAAACGGAACTAGTAAGAGGACTGATTTTAATTATCATGAAAATGGCCTTATATAGTGTTAATGGTGACGTATAAGTGCTCAGACATTTTGGACCACACTAACCACGGAAAATCCGTTATCTCTTCGTGTTCCACTAGCATGCAGGGGAGACATGCAGCCAACCAGAGAACTCGGAAGGACGGCACCTGACACTTTGTTTTGGCTTGTGATTGGTCAATAAAGCCTTGTCTGTGGTACCATTATTCTTCATACTCGGGCTCGAGAATTCTAAACGTCGGTGTATCGACTTATAAGGGCGCAGACATATTGGATTTTGCGGGCCTCAGTCAACCACTTTACCATCGAATGGCATGCCAGGAGGATATGCAGCCAACCAGAGACGAACACGTGTTACAAGTTTTGCATAATGAGCAGCGCAACCGGCGTGGTGGACTGAGATGGATGCCGCCTGACAAGGGAATCTGACTTTTAGTTTTTTAAATAAAGCTTGTTATGTTGTACTAGTTCTATTCACACTAGGGCTAAAGTATTCTTCATCGAAACCTATTAATTGATACTACCACCATTCTTTTTTTCAAGCTCAGTGACTGATGGTATGACTAATTTAAACATTATTTCATTATCCTTCGATTTTTTTAATAGTCACAGAAATATTTTGCCAAATTATTCTGGCAAATTTCGGTCGGGATATTACAACGCACTACTTCTCTGGGATTTGAAAACTACACAAATTATGAATGCTGGAAACCACATGTGTTCTATGCATGACATTAATGTAATGTGCATGCAGAAGGATGGATATTTTGCACAGACCATAATTTTAAGATTTATTTGCCCAAAAAACGAGGCTTAATATCAAACCAGAATCCAACGATGGAATAGGTAATTTAGTGGGATCAATTTATCGTATTTAATATTAGTGAGTGCTAAAACATCCCATAATTCACAAAAGGACTATTCCAATGTTTATGTGACGTCAAAATTGGCAAAAACATAAATTAGTTGATGAAAAAATCGTTACTGTTATAATACTTTTAGTATTCCTTCTAAACTTTTATAAATAAATTTAAACCTGGAATTAAACGTCCACATTTGTTCGATTTTCGTTGGGGATCATTTAGTTGTTCACGCATTCAAACCAAATGTAAACATCATTGTAAAAAAACTAACATTTGCGAGTATGATTCATATTTACCCCAACTTTTTTTATATAGATATTAATTGAAACATCGTTGTTTGGGCAACATTTTATTGTTAAATCATCACTACAATAATTGTTGCTTAAAGGAATGACAGTCTAATCGCAAAATCTATGTACCAAAACAACGTGGATTAATAAATCTGTGAAGCATTTTTCTGCAGATAACTTTAATTTTTTATCTTAATTGCATCTATTAAAATTTCCTACTCAGTGAGCAAATTGGTTTGTCATATCTTATTATAGTTTTCGCCGTGATTGTTTGGCAGCTTGTAGGTAGGCCCAGGGACTTTTAAAAACTTGAGGCTAGTTTTACTCTGCCGGTATGATTAGGTTTTTCCTCAATAGTTTCGCAATACATCATATAATTTGGACGTCTTTTTAGCAACATGTTGGCCATAAAAAATGCACTGTCTGCGGTGAAATCCAGGTCACTTTCTAGATGCATTTCGAGCTGTCAAATTATGTTTAAAGAACATGGGGAACCTCTTGACGTTCTTTATGAGAAAACCCAGGATATCGGACCACTAGGACCAAACGATGTGCTTGTAAACTACCGTGCGTCGCCGATCAATCCGTCTGACATTAACACGATTCAGGGGACCTATCCACTGAAGCCGAAACTTCCGGGCGTTCCCGGTAATGAAGGCGCTGGTTACGCAAGTGTCTCTTGTGTGGTTTACTCTTTTGCCAGGTTTTAGAATGTGGACCTGGAGTGTCTAAGCTGAAACCAGGAGATCTTGTCATGCCTGGAGAGGCGTCCCTGGGAACTTGGAGAAGTGCTGCTGTGTACAATGAGTCACAGCTTATCAAACTGAACCCGAAATTGGACATAATGCAAGCTGCTTTTCTCAACATAAACCCGTCAACCGCGTACCTAATGCTTAAAAACTACGTCGATTTGAAACCTGGTGATTGTGTCATCCAAAACGGGGCGACGAGTGCAGTCGGAATTTATGTCATGCAAATGTGCAAGCTCATGGGCATCAACACAAGTAAGAGCTGTATATCTCTTTTTTTATATTTGGAAGTTAACATTTTCAGGGCGCGTGAAACGCCTGAGATGACAGAGGCTACTCGTCAAGCACTCCTTGATTTCGGTGGAACATTGGTTGTAACAGAGGATGAGCTGGAGGCGTATGAAGACATTCAACGCTTTGGCAAAATCCGGATTGGGTTTAACTGTGTGGGAGGCAAGCCAACATTGGCCTTAATTAAGCGTCTTGACTACTCTGGAGTTCTCGTCACCTACGGTGGAATGGCGCGTCAGCCGATTCCAACCCCGATTGGTCCTCTCATCTTCAAGGACCTCCAACTACGCGGATTTTGGCTGTCAGGAAGGGAAAATCAGTCAGGAAACAAGGAGGCCAGGCTTGCTATGTTGGAAGAAATTACCGACTGGATACTCAGTGGAAAAATTAAAATTGCCCCATTTGAGTCGATTCCCCACACTGACTGGAAATCGGCTGTGTCAAAGTCAATCTTTAAGGATGACATTCCAAGGAATCTCCCGCGGAAGATAGTTTTGTCTTTTCCTGAAATTCTGTAAAATTTTCGCTGACTCTGTAGGTGCACTCAGCTAGAAGTCTGCTGGCGCGTCAACCGCTTTTATAAACGATTACTCTGATTCTTGCTGTCTTCCCCTTTCCGACCATCTACGGTCGTCTCAGGTCCACTAAATTTGAACACCACCTAGAATGGGGTTTCCGTATGCTGTCTATCGGCTGTTTTACATAATAATCTCCTGGTCTCCATAGCAGATTGTGTCTTGCCTTCGTTGTGGTAGCTCGTTGGTTGTGCAGTATAGAACCTAATTTTCAGGATGTGGCTTGGACAAATCTTAGGTCAATCGGCCACACGTCAAGCCTCTTGTTTTACAACGTTGCTTTATTTTTGGCCGGAGTCTTTTAGAACCAGCTACCGGGGGTGAAACTTAAGTGGGGTACTGTCTTAAAGCATGCCTGAAGATTTGGTTTGCGTTTAAGGTACAATAACCCACCTCTGGACAGATTGATCTGTAGCCGTTCTACAGTCCGCAATTGTATATTTCCGGGTGAATTTGTGCAGGAGAATATTGGTTGCGCTGCTGAGATTCGAGCCAATGTCGGGGCTTCCAGTTGTGGTGGGACTCAAACTCGTGCCATGGCGTGTTAACCATCGAGACGCTGTAAAGAGGATGAACCTGTCCGGAGAGAGGAAGAGAATTCGCCGAGGGTTCGAAGTTTGTTCACCCACAAGCACTTGTCGTATGATAGTCAATTTGATAAACCCAGGTCAAACAACGAGAATTTGAAGAAAACCTAATAATCCATCTAACGCCAACTGGGAACCCTTGCAATCTCTTGAACGCATCTGTGATGGCGCTCCATCGATGCTGGAATTAAAAGCCCTGGTTTACGCGAAAAAAATTGTGTATAGGGAACTGATAATAGTAGCAGTTGTGCTGTACATTACAAAAAACCTTGTGGAATTTCACTGGCCGATTCTCGTAGTAGCCAGGCACAGGAATCAGATTACCCATTATTTAAGCAGCATCTGTAGTGAATCCTGAATGCACTGACTGACGGCTAGTAACTTCGTTTTAGGCATGTCTATGTGGCCATGGTTCAGCTGTCTGTCAGTCAGTCATGGCTGAATCAATGCTTCTGCATTCTGCTCTAGTCTCTCACTCGCTCGCTCTCAACACCTGACTTTTAACAGCATAGCTAGAACAATTCCACCCTGATCACAGTAGTCATCTAACCAATATTAACAAGGCAACACTCTTGTCTCGGTGAGCATTGCACGACAGCAGGCGGTGTCTCATGGCAGTACAAACACATTTGTAGACGCAGTAGAGGAGTTTTGCGTAAAACCCTTTAACTGTGGTTTATTGCCTCAAGTTGCATGTGCTGGATGTAATCTACTTAGGATACACATCAAGTACTGCTCCAATGGTGCGCAGATTCTTTTAAACCTCAGAACACCTCCATCCAAATGACAGATTATTTGACTGAGAAGCTATGGATGCAACTTTTGCAAAAGTACTGAATTTGCGAGGCGAAATCTCGCTATTTGATAACCAGAGGAAGTGAGAAAGCGCTGAGGTCTATGACACTGGTATGTTACAACCAAAACACAATGTTTTCCACAACAGAATTCGACCCATTGGCTGCACAGAGAGTGCCAACTCGATAAGACCCAATTTCCCGCCAAGCACACGAGTAGACTTGTGAAGGACTGCCAATGACCGCGCGTGAGAGGAGACAGTTTGCTCATCTGATAGTGCCAATGCCATCAAGTCACTCATTTGCACACAAAGCCACACCTGTTTAGCGTGAAGCTTCCAAACTTTCTTATCAACTATAGCCTCTCTTCTCCATCTACGGGAAGTCTTTAAGGACCATCACATACGGATTTTTAGGAGTCAAAAAACGACCATGCGTGTCTAAAATTTTCTATCCTATAAACATTAAATCTACCTTGGAAGATGTACTGGAGGTAATTGCAACGTTTTTTAGTTCAATTTGGTGTATGTTTGCTATATCAGCGAAAAACAACAGCGCCATGTTTACGATTCCGCAAAAACCATATTTGCTGCGGTGAAGAATGTAAAAGGACCGCCATGTGACCTCCAATCTCTTGTCCAAAACTGTGTCTACCACAGGCTGGCATGTTTTGGCAGCGTGGTTTTTGCGCTCCTGCTGCATTCTCGTGAACTAGTGTAAATAACTGACACAGACACATGTGCTTAAATTACCACAATTAATCAAGCCATCAATGGTAATTTAAAACCGATATTTCGGTAAATGTTACGACACAATTGTGACTTTTGTAATTACTAAAAACGATCCTTGTTATTGCAATATAATCTTGAACATTTAGCTATCCTTTAGATAGACCAGATTTCAATAACTGTCACACTAAATAAATGAATGGCCAAGCCTTTGTGCAACTATTAGTGCACATTACAAACATATTTGGTCAACACAGAAATCTGGGTGAGTATTTAGCCTTGCAGCCGACAGCCTCTTCTTAACTCCATTCCTCTACTTTCATGGTACGACCAGTCTCCGTTGCATTGATAGCTGGATGAACGCAGAAAAGTCCCTCGCCTACTTTAACAAAAATTAGGTTGTGCACTTCATTTTAGCCATGGCATTTAGACTTTTGACAATGGTTTGTTAAAACATTGGTTTCATTTTTTACCTTATTTCAATTTGATAATCAGATTACGGATAAGGACATGTGCGATACGCCAATAACGATAATTACCAAATGTCATTTGGAAAAAAAAACACAAGCGTTTAAGGCATATAATGGGGTAAATTTCAACATATATGGAGCAAAAAACGGACAAGGAATCCAAAAAATAGCGAGGTTTTGTATCATTGACATCAATGTCAGTTCAACTTAAAGGGGAGAATGGTAATACCAAGAAAACGATTCATAATAAAACCAGGATTAGCAAGCAAAATGTTCCTACCGTATCTTTCTAGAGATACTTTCAAAAGTATCTGGGTTTGTAATATCACACGTTATTGCACCTAACGTATTTTTTTAATGCATACAGCTCTAAAAAAATGAATCTGCGAAGGAAATGCAGTTCTGTACCCCTTCATGCTCCTGCTATTTCGGAAAAAATGTAGTTTTTGTGATGTCCTAATTTCTGCTAGACCCATTAGATACCAAGCTATATAGCTGTTGCTAAATGGTGTTTTAGCATAAGTCGGTCTATTTTTGCAGAGTGTTTTGATCGTTGCAAGTTAATATATTTTATTCATTAAGTTACTGATGATGCAAGTCAAAAAATCGTCCTAAGCAATAAAGCCCTAATATAGCATTATGTAAATATATAAATAAATGAAAAAGAAAAAATGAATACTTTTGAAATAATATGACTGAGTTGAATTTATGCTGCAATTTTGAAAATTTGTTATGTCGTTCAACTGGCGACCTTCCAGATGCAAACTCATAATTTCAATTACGGAGTTTTTTTCTTAGATATTTGAAATAGAAATTGTTAAATAAAGTTGTCGTGTGATTTTTACTTGTATTCGATGTTAATTTTCTAGTGTTAATGTTTGATTACCTATCTATTTATGCAACATCTAGTTTACAAAGATATTACTTTTTTCTACTTTGGGGCGCACGTTAGTGGGCAGCTTGGTTTTAATGTTTTCTTTTTAAATTTATACATAGGTATTTTAGCAGTCTGACTTATTTTATTTTTTCAAGTTTTATTACTTGCTACCTGGTAGAACATTTTGAGCTTAATTTTTGCAAGATTTATGACGTACTCTCTAATCATTTGTGTACAATTTTTATCAATTTGGGTTAACGCTCCTAATGTTTTTCTGTACCTAAATGCCTGACGTGATTAGTTATTTTCGTGTGTTTCTTTTTATTCCTACTAGATCACAAAAAGTGCCTTTGGTCTTCCCTCCTTTTTACCTGACCGTGCGGTGTCAATGCTAACGTTTGTCGTATGTTTGGCTACTTTGCTTGCTTCTGTCTTCTTGTCTACATTTGAGTCCCAAGTTGTGCTCGACGTCGAACCAGTGGCATTTGTGGTCTCCCCTGCACTAGCCAAACGCGTGGTGCTTGTTGTTATAGATGGTTTAGGAATGCACGCCTTCATGGAAAACAAGATGTCTGAAGATTCGTTTTTGATGTATGTTTTATCCTCACACTAATGTACCCAAATCTCGCAGTTTCCTAGGCTGTTCAATGTAAAATAAGTTGTTGTACTGCCTTCAACTTTTCGATTTGGTACAATTTTCTTTTTTTTTATTTTTTTCAAAATGCACAAATGCTAGGCGTGTCCATGACACATCCTTAACTGGCATAAGGCCGGCTTTAAAGCTAACGAACTTTCTGTTTTAGGCGAATATCCAGCTCTAAAGGCCAAGTCGGAGTAGTTAGAGCAGACGTTCCCACTGAAACGCGCCCCCGTCATGTCGCATTGCTTGCCGGATTCAACGAGGACGCCTCAAATTTGAGAAACGGTGAGATTCTGGTTGACGCGTTTCACACTAAATTGACTCGTGATTTCAGTTGTCTCAAAAGCCCTTAACTGGACTGCTTGTTATTTACATATCTGTAATTTCACTAAGTGGCATTGCCAATTTACTGCAAACGGGCGAATGCTAGGGCAAAACGATTCTCAAATATGTTGAATTCAATCAATCACAGATCAACAGAGTCGGTGTGATCGTCCTAAGATGGTCTTGGAACTCCTTTTTGAGACGCCCTTTGTGTTTGAAATCATGCCTCTTGCGGGGACGTGCATAACCTGAGTGTCCTATTCCCATAGCCTGGAGGACAAACATCCAACCGTTTGATGCCATCGTGCACCACACTCAGCGCACTTGGGCATACGGGGACCCCGTTGCCTTGAGACCTTTCATCCTGTCCAATGCGGACCCACGAAGTGGGAGATTGAAATTCGAGCACTACGGCGATGGTCCCCATCACTCCGCCTACGCTGACCACTTCGTGTTGGAAAAATTCCGAGTAAGTGCCAGTGAGGCTCCTGAAAAAAACACGCTGTTAAAGCTGTTAGCAAGCAAAACCACTAAACCTATTCTCAATTTCTGCGCTAATTCGTGAATTATGGAGGTAGTGTCATCAACGTACACAGATAGCACTGACGGTGATCGATAAAATGATGACGCCTACGTTTGTGTACACCATATCGCAGGACTTCATAGAAACCGACCTTGACAAGTTCCTGGAGCCTGACGAACCCTCGTCAAATGGAAGCCGTGGGAAGCTGCTCTTCCTGCATCTCAGCTCCGTTGACGACGCAGGCCACCACGGGGGCTTCAGGGGCGCACTCTTCCACCGAGCTCTTCGAAACGCGGACTCGGTTGTGCATGAGGTCTACAGCGTATTGCGAGATCGTCTCAGTGAGGAAGAGCTTGCGGCAACCGCGTTCATCGTCACCTCGGATCACGGGACAAAACCAAACGGTGCGCTTCATTGAGTCGATTTCCAAGTTGCCTAGTTTGGATCGTGTCGTGACGTCCACTAATACTCTGAGTGTGTCGAGTTTGTTAGTCTTTTTTTTACATACAGACACCTTTGGTGCGTCATTTAAGTTAACCAATGACGTTGCTAGTTCTGGCTCTTAAACACGTGTTCTGGGTGAGTTATTTCGAGGAAATTCTGGGCAAACTAGGTGTGAACATTGAAGCAGATGAAAACGAGTTGTGATAACTGATGGCTGTTGCTTTCATCCTGGGCTTATTATCGTCAAACAAAATTCCCCATGTCTGGTAATTCCAACTCCGTGTTCAATTTACTGCGTTTTTGTCGCCTAATTCCAGCTGTACCGGCTCGCGAGCTCGGACGCGCATGTGATTTTTTAAACATCGCAATCGGTAATGTAAACCATTTCACCTTGCTTGCTTGTAAAGCCGTCTCGGACTGTGGATGCCATCCGAAATCGGCTCACATTCGTGGGCTAACACATTTTTGCAACCAAATTCGACGCAACTAAATGTTTTTAACACTTACCTATTGCATAAAACATTACAAAAGGCAATGTTTTAAGGAAAGAGGAAGAATCAAACAGTGGCGCGTGGAGCATTTTGAAATGACAGATTGACCAATCGCAAAGTTTTGCCTCTGAGTTTTCGGGCAATCTGGGCAAAACACGTGCTTCTTTCTTCGTGAAACACGTCTGCACACGTCTGCAAAAGGTTTGAATCACGACGATTCGGTCTGTTCGTTGATTGGTCCGACAATACTGCAGTTAAAACGAAGGACGGGTCAACTCATAACTACGTACTGTAGTAAGGCGCAAGCATGCTGGATCCCTAGACACCCAGTTCAGTCAATCACCAGTTTGTGTGGGTCGGAAGAAAAAGATTAGAAAGACAAGGATGAATGAGAAGCACGGCTCTGGCTTGTGATGGGCCAATGCACAGGGGCTCGGCTATTCCACGGTAGTAATGTCACCACGAAAGACCAAATGCCTCTACGCGTTTCCCTGCCCCCGGACAGGTGGTCACGGAGGGGACTCGAGTGACGAAATACACGTCCCCTTCTTTGCCTGGGGCGCTGGAATCGCGCACACACCGAGCCCTCGCGCTTCTAGCGCGGACACAGTCGAGGGCTTTCCCGTCCTCCTGCACCAGGTTAGCGTGAGCAGCCTAATCGCGTGTCTATTGGGCACAACCATCCCCTCAAATTCTCAGGTACTCTCTCAATCGATAATAACTGTGGTTAGGGAAGGATCCCTGTGGATTTGCTGAACACTAGCGTTGCCTACAAGGCCGGCCTTCTTCGAGACAATATTCGGCATTTGCACAAGCTCAGACAGGTAAGACGGTGTATGATGGTACAGTGAGGTTTCATTTCAAGGCACTCCTACGCAGAGCCAATCAGCTTTCCGCTGTGCCTTTTTTCATGTCTAACTCAGACGTTGAGACCCCAAGTGACCTTGAAACTCTGCTGAGGACGGAAGACGCCCTGCTTACAACCATGCCCTTTACTCTGTGGAGCGCCTGGTTTATTAATTTGTAAGTTCTGCCTCGGATAGTTGGTGCCAACGCATCGACTAATCCACCAATCATAGATCGAATTTCTGACCAATCATCTTACCGGAACAAGTATCGCAAATTGCTTTTGGTAGAAAAGCGATTGGTTGGTTTTCAAAGAAGACCCGGTGTGTTCATATTGCCAGTGACCAGTCAAACTGACAGGCTTTGTTTAAAATGCCTCGAATTTCCTAGTGTGCACGTAGTGTGGAGCAAAATGTCGTACATTTCATTCTTTCCGAGGTGGTCGGATCAGAATTTGCTTTTTTTTCTAAAAACTAACTACGTTCACTTAATTAGTACGGATTAGGTACGAAACACATCGGTATTTCTAATCGGTGGCCCTACATTCTTCATCATCAATCGCCTCATTCAAGGGGAATTTAAAATACTGAACTTGAGCAGTGTGGCTTTTTGTAAAACGTTAACAATCCCAATGCATACTCAAAGTGCCACCCTGTAATTTGACACCTTTAACGACTTGGGGAAAGACTAAATGATTTACGCACCATGGTTTTTCGAATATTTAGCGTCTTCTGGGAGGCTTCAGTAGTATTGATTTCGCTTGGTTTCGTGTTCAACATCACACAAAATGCCCGCTGCGGTCACCAGACGGCAATGCGCCTGTGTTTTCGATTCGGTGTGTTTCTACTGTCAGCTGTGGAGCTCTTTCGAGGTAATTACAGCGTTTCCGGCTGACAAGTGGAGCCCGATTTACATAAAAATTCAACCCATCTGTTTTCACCGTAGTCTTGAGATGGACCGTGGGTATGTACTATCTGAATTAAGTCGCCAGTGCACGCGTTTGTGCTTTAAAGCAGCTATTATGAATTTACCTTCGCCATCTTGTCTGCATTCCACATAATCGAAAATGCAATTTCGTAAATACGGCGACGCGTTACTTCCACTACTTGTGTTTGCAACGCTGCTAGTTCAGCTGCCTCACCCCGACTTGCTACGACTTTGAGTTGATAGAGCTCATGATCAGCAATGTCATGCGACCCTTCCACCCAAATTAGCGCAGCCGGATTGGTGTAATTGCGATTCGCTTGGTGGCCAAATCTTTGATCCCAACCTCTAGCCAGAGGTTGAAGAATCTCGCATTGACTTTCAGCCAAAACTCAGCGAACATCATTCGTCAGTTTCAAATGCCTGCAAAGCCATTTGAAATTGGTTGATTTGTATTCTTTCCAGTTTCTCTTTGGTGTAATCTGCAGCGAATTCGAGATGGCGTTTCTGTTCATGATCATTATAATCCCAAAGCAGGTGATTCTGCGCTTTTGGGTTGCTTCATCTGCTTTTTCCAAATTTCTGCTTTTCTGCTTCGGACTTTTTCGCGCGCGTGCGTGTGTGTGTGTGCAATTTCATTCGGCGCACGTAGTGTATAGGCACTCAAGCGCACAACTACCTTGTTGACTCCCATGGCGCGTGCATCATGAGTATCGCCTGAGCAAATTGAAAGCGGCGCTCAGCGGGAATCGGAATTAAAACAACGCACTTCTCGGTTTCAACAGACTATCACGATAAAGCAGCGCTTAGAGAGATGGTGCTGTTGCCGTTTGGCTGCATTTGTGCCGAGTTCGTTGGCAGTGGCCACCACGCCCGTGCTCGAACTCTCATCTCTAGCGCGATGGTGGCGTCTACGCGACCAACTCTTCGACAGTGCCTTGGTGGTGCGCTTCTGTTCGCTCAGGCATTCTGTACGGTAATTAGTCGATCCTTTCTGCCCTAATAACCCTTCTATTCCCCACACCATTCAGCTTCAGCTCCCCTTTCATTTGTGACATCACGTCTGGCTAGATTACTTCCTTTTTTAACTGGTTACTTGGCAAAAAGCGGTTTGTTTTGAGCAATTGCGAGGAGGTGGTCCTCTAATGAAACGTCTCCAAAGTGTAGTGCTGTCATTCGTCGGTGTCGATGCGTGACAGGCGACTGACCAATGAAAAGCAGCGATGAGTCATCAAAATCAATAACTCCGCTGACGAGCTTCGCTCACGCGCGATCGCTGACTGTCAACTACAGGTTTCCAAAGGATCAGATCGCAACACAATTCGAAAGCCTGGTATTCCACCAGTAGAGGTCTTGGGCGGTCATATTTCTCATTTGTCCTGCTCACAACTCATTTTTTTAATCATGAATTTACACAAGTCCTCTGTCTCAACGCGTTTGTAATTAGTTGCAGGGCTTCTACAAGCCACCGCTTTTTGGGTTGGCGGCGGCAGCGTTGACCGTCGGTGCAGTCTGTGAAGGCGCGACATTTCGCAACAGCAAACTAGTGAGTTTCATTCTTAAGAAAAAACACATTCCTGAAACGCGCGTCATTTGATCAGGGAACGCATAAAACTAAGCAGAGATCAAGTGAGCCAGCGCAAAAACCACACACAGGACAGCTTCAGCACTGCCTGCATCTGCTTGAAGCAGCTAAACGACCGAAATCTGGGGAAGGAAAAGCGTAGATTTAGGTGAGGTGATATGTGCTTCTTCAGCAGTAGGCGCGTTTCTCATTGCCTAGATGACGGCCTTGTGGATCGGCACAGCATTCCTATTTGCAGTTTGGATTTACTTCTTGCACCAAGGACTCAACGACGCGGCCAGTGACGATTCGACCGTGATGTAATGCAGGCCTTTTTATCCCTTTACTAAATTCTGAAGTTTTGTTTAAAATGCCACAATTGTCCTGTTTTTAAGCGGTCTTAAAGTCCTTATCCTCGGTGGGCTATTCGTGCAATGGCTTTTGTTCTACGTGTGGGCATCAAGAACTGGCCAATCAGAGGCAAGTTCACTCAAGCTGTCAAGTTCGAACCCTCGCAAATTCACATCTCACAATTTCCACACTTGTGCACTCTTTTTTAGTTCTGTTGTCAATCAATGCCTGACCAAATGTTGATGGAACTCAGAAGCCAACTTGCTAATGTATCCTTTTGACACAGTTTGAAGCACGCGGCCAACTATTATCTGGCTCACAGATTCCATATTACGACGTCTGTGATATATATTCACTTCATTTGGAGACGTCCACTTCATGATGTGGTTTAAATTCGGCTTACGTGGACTTGGCGACTTGTCACTACGGCTCTATCCCTCACCTGTCGATTTATCGGGTTTAGACAGCTGGTAGTTCAGGTACTCACAGGTCTTATCGCGTTCTGCCCAGTGTTTACCACACTGCTGTTGGCAGAACGCAACTTCCAATTCCTCCTTTAACTGGAACTCATCATGGTATCTTAGTACATCATGTAGTAAGTAAGTGTAAAAGCTAACTTGCATTTGTTGTGCTTCGATACGAGTAGGAACGACTCCATCGTAATTGGTTTTGTTGGCCGCGAGTTTCTCATTGGTTGCCTCGACAGGCGAGAATTTTGTGGCCACCAGCGGTCTTGCTAGACTTTGTTTCGGTTATAATTGAGCAGCAATGCACGCCAACAAGAGCATTCCTTGACGCGTGTCATGCAGCTTCTGTTCCTCCACACCTACCTATTCGGGCTCGAACTCTACTCGAATGTGCCCAGGCAAGTTGAAACAATTTGCTGATTTGGCATCGGCTGGGTTGCTGTTGTCGTTGTCAGGGCGTTCTTATTCGTTAACTGAGTAAATGCCCTGATGACCGCGAACAGACCTCAAATGTGCTCTGTTTAAAACCGTGCCATCACCCATCAGTCCCTCCGTGTGATGTCTAGCAGTGATTGAGTCAATTTTGAGCTTTAGTGACTCCGTTTTCGTCTAATCGCCTCTAGAAAAGCTTGTTGTAGATAAGCTGGATTTTTGCTCTAGCGCTGCTTGTTCTCGTCTCTCTGAAATGCAACTGACAAGTAACCAGCCAACACAGCCGACAGTCTGATTTAGAATTAGCAAACGAAAAATCCTCCGGGTTACATAGCCGTAGCTCCAAATGCCACAAATTTGCCACAGTCCGATAGGCATGATGTGTGCAGGATGCTCATTAGACCAACTCTGTACCCTGAAAACAAGACACTTCAATGGAAACATGTTTTTTTTTCTATTAACACAGGGATTTCAGTGCAGCCAATGCAGAGTCCTTGCGAAGCAACCTGAAAAGCAATATCTGGGTTGGTTACGATAGTGCCCTTTTTTCAACCGTGCAAATAAACTGCCTTCATTTTCTGAACTGTCATGGTAACTTGACAACAAATTGGCGGTGCCATGGTTACTGGCAACCCGATCATCGTTGTTTTCTAGGCCTCAAACACGCACGTGTTTCGTCTGGTGATGCCTCATCAGCAATGCGTTAGCCAATAATCTTGGAGCCGGTTTACACCCAGTAGATCAACCTGGTTGTCCTGATTGTCCGACGATGACCACGCTTGACTGAAGTGACTTTCCTGCAACGCATGAGAAGTGTTTTGTAGTAGTTGATACTTGCGGACGTTTGCGAATTCAGTGGACGGCCACAGTGCTTGGTGTATCACTCCACGCAATCCATTGTTGCCGAGGCAAGGACGTAAAAAGGACCGTCTTGTGACCTCCAGCAACTGGTGCAAAACTCTGCCAATCACAGGTTGGCTCGTGTCAGTCTTGTGATTGGTGCGCTGCTGGTGCTTTAGTAGCCTCATAACCTTGTGCGACCAACTGACACAGTCACGTGAGTTTAAGTGAACACAAGTAATCAAACCAACCTCGGCAATTGACAGCCGATATTTCAGTAAATGCTACATTGCGTAAGGCATCAGTGCAGCATGGGGTTTAATATTTACATATACTTGAGGCACAGCAGATTCCAATGAGTGTTTTCCAACACAGCTGAATATCCCGATCTTCGTGCAAGTGCTGGTGCACATGACAGCCACATGGAGACGACGACGACGGCGAGGTGATCGGTGTGAGCATTCGGCGCACACACCTGCCTGCCTCCTCCTCCTCCTCATTGCTCCTTTCGCCTTCTTCCACGGCACCGCCAATCTCGCTTGCGCTGGCAGCTGGATGCACGTTGAAATGTCCCTCGCTTACTTCCTCTACATCTCACTGGTGCCATTCCTGTTCGCCCTGGCATTCAGTTTGTTGGCGATGACGCGTGCCTATTAACCTCCGCCATGGTACAAAAACACTAACAATCACGCACAGTCTTCGTTACTTTGTAAAGTCGTATTTTTCCGAAGGCAAATAGCCCCCTTCGATGAAGTAAATTGTCTACTGCTAGTGCAAACGTAATCTCATCTCACACATTGCTACGAGTTTACCGAAAACCGGCATCTTGCATAAACGACCCTTGTGGATGGCTGTCGTGAGAAGTGGGGGCCGGATCTGAATGTAGCCGAAAACAGTTGTCGGCCTTCACAGAATAGGTCTTCATTTACCGTCTTTTGAAGGTGACATGTAGTACACTTCATTGCACTTCTGTGCAAGCAAGGTGTCTACCAATTGTATTGAGTTGTTATTGGTACACTTCGGGGGAGGGGGTGGCGGTGACCAAGCAATAATGTGACTCATCCCCGGTTCTGATTGGCCACTGTTGCCAGCCGCCTGCAACTCACGCGCACTCTTCCACACGCCAGCACACGCTGAAATGTGGGACCCTACTGTTAGTTGGTAGTAGTAATTCCCACCTCCGTGATCCACTCTCTCTCCATCCGGAGGGAGTCGACACAATTGTTGCGCTGAGCCACCATACTTGAGCCTCAGTAAACGAGTGTGTTTAGGCGGAAAGAGACGAGAGATACCCACAGAGTGGCTAACTACCTAATCTGTCGAGGAGCCTCCGTTTAGGCGCAACTCTAACAGTTTTATAAGGCCGTCTCCATCAGTTTATTTAGACAACGATGACACGACGAGGAGGGAGCAGCCGTTGACTCACCGGTTAAGTACGATGTGTCACTGTGTGAATCATTTTACTGAGGTGGGTGCTGCGTTTTGTCAATAACAAACTCCCTTGTCTAACGCAAGCTCTATCACCTTTAAGTGCATGACAAAGAAGTGACTTCGCTCAGAGTGAGAGAGGGATTTCACTGTCTCCGCCAACGGCCAAATGACGTGTCAGAAGGCAGATCCTTTCTAGCTAATGGGTGACCTTAACCTGAAAGATTAAGAGGAATTAACACAGCCGAGGCTAGTGTGACTAATTGACTTGGTGTGATTAAGGGGAATTGTGTAAACGATGACGATTCTGACTTGGCCGCGAACCTTTGTAGTGTAGCGACGTATAACGACGCAGGCATATTCGACGACGCTGGCCTTAACCAATCCTCTGTCTCTGAGTTTGAATGGTCTTCGTGGAAGATATTGTAGAATACCCGAGCCCTAGTATGAAGAAGACTGGTACAACAGAACAGGCTTCATTGACCAATCACAAGCCAGAACCACACGTCAGGCACCGTCCATCCGAGTCTACTGTAGCGCGCCCGGGCATAATAAGAGGACTAATGGACAGTTATACGGGTATACTGATAGAAAATACAACGACAGCCTCCAACATCAGGGTTAACGTTTTAGTGTTCACAAGGGGTTTCTTATATACTGGGTCCAGATTGCTCCTGTCCGCTCATTGGCTCCGGCTTGGCTTCTAGAAATAGAGAGACAATCTCGTGTAGTGATTAGCTATCCGTGCTTTGGCGCCCCATTTGAAACTTAAATGATCCTCGCAACCGGAAATCACGTGCCGCCACTGGCTCTCAACCAGTGGCTGGATGCCAAGATGGCGTCCTTCTGCCCCCACGCTACACTACCACGCTGGCTGCACCGCTCATTTTTTGCTGCTCCTCATTCGTGTCTCCCTCTGGTTGGCTGCTTTTCTTCCCCGCATGCCATTGGAGTGCAGAGAGACAGGGGATTGGCTGAGGCCAGCGTGGTCCAATATGTCTGCGCCCCTATACAACGCCACAATATGCAGCCAACCACAGACAGACACGTATGAGAAGCAGTATAGAATAAGCGGACTCAATTTGGATTTCGACATCGCAAGTTCTGTAGCCATCAGAGAGACTTTACGAATGATATTATTTACGTGACAGAGTATGCGACGTTGCTCCTTTTGCAGATGTAATGCCAGATGTGGTGTTAGATAGCAGCAGAAGCACGCACCCTAGCAGCACTCACTAACCAGTCAATTTTGAGCATGAGTGCACATGTTGTGCCAGGCTAAACCACTCACGCACCGACATGTCTGTATCACTAGATGTGCACACACACGCGTTAGGTGGTGCGAACACACTATTACTGCACTTGTCTCCGTCGCAGGATCATGGATATACGTCGCCTAAATTGTGCCCTCCTCTGTCTAGCCATCACCTTCACAGTAATCGCCCTGGCCACCAACCAATGGGACGGTGGGAATTTGCTGCAAAATAACCGCCACGACGCTGCCCTCGCTGTCGGCTCCCTGCTCTGCGTGGGCGTCATTCTGCTCAGTGTTGCGCTCATTATCAACATTGTCCAGTTGTGTCTGGATACGAAGTCGGGGGCACTGCATTTGGCCTTCCTCGTCACGCTGTTCATCGGCGCCACAGCCCTCCTCATTGGCATCCTCGTCTACACGGGCATTTTGTCGAAGCAGTGGTCCTTCTTCGTTGCCGTCGTGGGCTGCACCTTTGCCTTGCATGTCGCCATCTTGTCTGCGGCCTTCAGTAAGTGCACCATCAAGCATTCCTCAACCACGCATCGATCCGGTCGAGTAATCCGCACGCACTGACCTCGGCCACAACGCCAACGGATCTACTCTCATAACTAACTGCTTAATCCACTGCCTCCCCCTCCTCCTCAACCACTCACGTAATAGAATTACTTTTGGTGTATTTTTTTGCTAAAAATCCCTGGCTGATTGTGGGGGACGTTAGTATATCCAACTCAATACAAATTTCATTAAGCTATGTGAAGTAACACCAACTTTCACTTCGTGGATGAGTCGTTAGACTAAAATAACAACCATCTCTGATGACAATGATGGTGGTGGGGGCGATTAGTGTGATGGCAAGTAATCAACACCGTTCGTTCTCTGTATTTTGAAGTGTCATAATTGTAGTATTCAGCGAACTGGCTAATATCATTGGTCAGTCACCGTTTTAGCTAGTAATACAGTGCACGGTGATTGATCAGACATGTTTAGTGTTGAGAAAATTAGTCGAAATCTGCTTCACTGAATTTCCGTAAACATGATTCGGTTTTAGAGTTGACTGCTGTGCTGCAAAGCAAGTTGAGCGTCAAGTGGAAAATCGATGAGAATGTGACCACTGTTTCACCCCGTTTCGGAGGTGACCATCTGTTGGGGCAAAGGCAATTCTGGAGAATCAGCCATTTCCATGATATGTCTCCATTATGTCGAAGCATGAATCCATCTTAAGTGTCCACCTCGCACAATAAGACGCTAGACAATGCATGCACAACACAACTGACCTGATGCGTTTGCGCTTTTAACACGGGCAGTTAATTGTCATCGTAGATTCAGTGCATGAGTTTAATTAAACGTTCACAGTGAGTCTGTAGAAGCTAGAGTTTTAGCACCACTTACAACCCTCTAGTTAACAGAGAACACGACCGTTTATTAGGGTCACGCCAGCCAAGTGTGTCTTAGTGTGTGTGTGTGTGTGTGTGCGTAAGTGGATGACAGGGGTCTGATAACAGTAACCAGTGGAAAGGAGATGAGTAATTGTCACCGTCAGGTGAGTAAACAGGGTTCACTGTGGCTCGACCGCAGTTAATCCGCCGCAAATCGACATCCACAGCTTTCGGTTAGCGTGGTTCAACCACCGCTATTCTGCCTTTACCTACTGATTTAGTTCAACTCAAGCTCTTGCCTGCTTCAATGCAACCTCCAATGTAGCTTGCATTTCTCACCATTACCATCCACCACGGACTCTTTACATGACGCCTTCACCTCTTCCGGTACACTCAAAGCAATGGTAGTTGTGATTACGTTTACAGTTGCAGTAGCCAATTTTGCACTTAATGAGGCTATTAGTAAATTGACCCACTCAAATCGCCATAGCAACATGTTTTGAAGTTGATCGATGCAAAGATGTTTTGGAAAAATCACTTTCGACTGTCATGATGTCCAGTCAGTGATTATAAAAAGATTAACTGCCTACGATAGGTAGGTAGCATTTTGCCGTGTGCGTAAGAAAAAGGATGATGAGAGGGCTGTGGAAAAGTGCGCTGATCGCTTTAACACACACCAGCTCATGCGTCTCTAGCACAGTGAGTAAGCACTTTCTCGGTTAGCATGCAACGTGCGCGGCAGCCCGTCAACTGTCAGCTGTCAGTGGCATGCGACAAACACACCATCGATAGCGATTTTTAGCGAAGTGCCTGCTCAAGTCTCATGCATTCTGATGGCGCAATGCAACGCGTCTTCATCGACTCGTCTCCTAAAGGGGTCTCAGCTGATTGTGGTGAAGGCTGACTTACGGACGTGTGCACCTACACGTCCCTAGCCCCACAACCTCGCTCGCGGTTAGGTGATACTCGATTCATCTTTCAAGTTCATTGCACCTGCGCTTCCCCTGTCGGCAGGTGGAGCCACGGAGTGTGAAGGCTGGATCTTTTTCGTCGTGAAGAGAGTACCAAAGGGTTCATTTAGTTTCACGAATACTCTAAAACAATCTGCTCCGATGAGATTGTCGTAGATGTAACTCACACTTTGCCTCAACTCAACAGACTATTTATCAATCACAAGCCAGAACGGTGCGACATGCGACGTCCGTTATCTAGTGCTTTTCATTCATTCCTGTCTCTGCGTCCTAGTACGACACTACAGCGAAAAAGAAGTCTTCTTCGATTTTATCAGTCCACTGCTCAGTCACGTGTATAAAATTCCGAGTGTAGGTTATTTTGTTGCTGGAGATTTTTGCACAGACGGATGAGGTTACACTGCAACGAAGCACGGTTGATCAGCATCCTAGCGATTCTTTTGCACACCAAACAATTTGTGAAGATCCATGTGGACACAGCCAAGGCGTGATGGCTGCTGTTCGAGTATACTAAGGACTAATGCGCCAACTGATCACACACACACACAAATGAGAGGCCACTTACTGCATTAATGTAACTTGCTAGGTGCGCTGGCCGTCTTATATGTCATTGCAAGGCCTTTACAGCGATTTACCTGTCTAACCTCTGTGGTGGCAACGTGATGTGGGTGCGTTGTCGTAGAAACGTCGGCTTGTAGTGGGTCATTTAGCACTACCCTATAACCCTCCAGTTAACAGCTCGTAACAACCCAAGAAAAGAGGCGACAGAGGACACGACAGTTTATTAGCGTTAAGCCAGTTAAGTGTCTTTTTATGCAGATAAGCTCACGCGCATAACAAGCAGCCGATAATAGTAACCAGTAAACATTATTGATGAGTCACTGTAATCAATAGTCCTTCAGGCAAGCGTCGCTCATGCGTGGTTATCGACAATCGATTACAAATATTCCCCCCTGAGAGTATTGGTTGTGAAACAATAAGCGCTACCAACTATTAAAAATGGACGCTAAATATGCGCATTTCGGATACGACATGACTGATGCCTCAACGCCAACATCCCAACTTCCTACACCTTCCAAATTTATGATTGGCCCAAGTAATTTGAGATTGCCGTTGTTGTTTGAAAATGGCTATTCATAATTGGAAAACCATCGGTCTGATTGTGGATGGCGATAATGACGACGCAGAATGGGGGAGAGATAGGCTTCAGCCTGAACATACCTGCTTCTGTGAGATTTTCCTTGTGGCCGTGTACCTTGAAGAGATGATCACCTCGATAAACCATCACTGACTCATCGATTTAACCTGGTATTAGTGTGCTTTATGTTAGCTTTTGTCACAAGACTATCCCAGGTCGTCACAGAAACCATTTTCTTGTTGATATATTGGGGGGGGGGGGGGGGGGAAGGGTTATGAATCGCAGTGGATACCGCTCCAAGGTTGTCTTTTT